ACAGGCAAAGCTCTTTTGGCAGAGGGGAGATCAGCCCCCTACTCGGCAGTGGAAGGCCAGAAGCAACGCGGGCATTCCGCCACCTCCGCCAATCCAAAGGGGGGGGGGGGCGCTCAGCCAAGGCTCCCACAGGGAGCCCGCTGCCTGGCGGCGCTGCACCCGGAAGGGCAGTCCAAGAGTCCGCCTGGGCCGGGCTGCTAGGAGCCGAGCGGGGCGACGGGCCAGAAACCGCTGGAGAAACGTCGCCCTGTCCGGGCCCGCCAGAAGCCTCTTCCCTGCTCCGCCGGTGGGACGGCAACCCAATCCAGCCGCAACGGCGCGGCCCCCGGCTTCCCTCGGCTTCCGCCACAGGCCCCGCGCTGGGCCAGGAAACCATCGCGCCGCCTAACAGCGCCGCCGGCCCGGAGGGCGCCGGGCTCCCCGCCGGACAAGATGACAGCGGCGGCCGGGAAGAGCCAGCCACGGTCCCGGCGAGGAGAGCGGCGGCGCAGTCTCGGCAGGGCAGGGATCGCGGCCCATCAGCCGCGGGGCCTCGGCAGAACACAGAGGCGGCATCCGGGCCGAGAGTCGCGGGCCGGGCCTCTCCCTCGCTCGCTCCCGCCGGGCTGGTGGTCGGCAGGCCGCGATGAGCCGGGGGGGCCGCATACGCCGCCCGCTCGGCCGGCGCCTCCCGCCCGCCTACGGTACCAGCACCGCGGAGCCCGCGCCCCGCTCGGCCCGCCCTCCGCCGCTGACAGCGCGGCCACGCGAGCGCCGTCCCGGGCGGCGGCGGCGGCTGGGCGGACAATGACCCTCCCGGCCCGCAGCGCGGCGCTGGCTTACCTGCTCGGGGGAGGCCGTGGCGAGGCTCCCGCCGGCCGCGCGGGGGGCGGAGGGCGCGGGGGTCCGCACGGTGCCTCTTTCGCTTTCGCTTGCCGGGCCGCGCCGCTCAGCACCGGGCGGTCGGGCGGTCCGGGAGGGTCCTCGCGCCGCCCCTTCGCGTTGTCGCCGCCGCCGCCGCCGCGGCGCCCGGCCCGGCCTCGCTCCGCACAGAAGCCGCCGGTGTCCCCGGGCAGCAGCGCCCGCCTCGTCCTCCTCCTGCCGCCGCCGCCGCCCGCCGCCGCCGCCCGCTCATTTGGGGGCCGAGCGCGCTGGCTGCGCCCCGGGCGAGGAGCCACTCCGGGCAGGCGCCGCCGCCGCCGTGTCAAAATAAGAGTCGCGCCGCCCGGCAGCTCCGGCGCGGCCTCCCAGCGGCCTCTCGGGGAGCAGCACCTGCCGGGGCGGGCGAGGGGCGGCAGCCGGGGCCCTCCGGGAAGGCGCCCGTGGCCGGACACGGAGAGGGCCGCCGGGTGGGCAGGGCGTCCAGGCCGCTGCGTCCGGGCCGGTCTGGGGCCGCCGTGGCCGCCGGCCGAGCCCAGCCGAAGCGTCGCGCAGCCACCGCGCACGGCAGCCCGGCCTGAGACGCCGCGGGACGGAGGGCGCCCTCGCCGGACTCTTAACCTGACGGAGCGCCGCCTGCTGGGCCGGGCAGGCAGCGCTGTTCCTGGGGCGGCTGCGCGCGCCTCGTTCCGCCCGGGACCCTCCGGTGCGCCGGGGTGGAGGGGGCGGCCGTGAGGGACGCCGCCTGCGGAAGGCGCCTCTGAGCGTGTGCTGAGGGCTCTGGGGCTCCCCTGGAGGCGCCCCCCTTCCGTCCCCGGTGCCCGACCGAGGCGAGGCTCAACCCGGGAATCTAGAAACGACTAAGGCGGACTCGAAGGAGCCACGGCGGATGAAACCGGGGGAAGTGCCTGGAGGGGAAACCACGAGGAGATCCCAACCGTACGGGCAGCGCTGTGAGAAAGACGAGCCTTAGGAGCGACTGGCCCCGAGCTCCTCAGCCGAGTCTTCCCCTCCCTCCCCAGTGGAAGTGGCCGATGCGGGGCTGCCCCCCCCCCCCCCGCTTTGCAGACCCCCGCAGATGCGGGGGGAATCTGAGGGACCAGCGACTGCTCGATTCCCTTACCCCACCCCAGTTCAGGAAGGGGGGTAAGAAGATCCTGAGGGGGCCAGAGAGGCCGCCTGGGTGGTGTTAACCATGGTAACCAAAGGAATGGAGGGGCGAGATGAAAGTGAGACTGGCAGAATGGAGGGAGAGAGACCCAATCCAAGAGCAGCTGCCCCTTTGGGTGGTCACCGCTCCCCCCCTCCCCCGCTGCCCCCCTGCCCTGCAGGAGACCCCCTGTCCATCTGCAGAAGGAGCCTTGAGGTCAGGGGGTCTTGACTTGCAATTAGTAGGTGAATCTGCCCCCTCCCCACATCTTCTTCCAGGGGTTTCACCTTCCCCAACCTCAGGGCAGTTCTCAGTGGCCCTCCTGGGCGGGGGGGGGGGGGGGATGGTTCTCCCTCAAAACAGCTGATTGGCCTCATAAAGCACTGCAGGGCCTTCTTGTCGCCCACAAGGCTTGGGGCGCCAGGACTCCTGTGCTGGGGAGCAGAGGAGGAGAGGAAGACTTGACTCCCTGCTTCCCCAAGTTCCTCCTGGCCACAGTGGATGATCGTGGGATAATTAGATGCGAGGGCTCATTGCAGACGATGCTCCTGTTGCCTGGCAACTAATGGTTTCCATAGACACAGTGAACCACAGCCTGCTAGGCAGCAAGTGTACAGTGCAGGAAGTCAGGGAGAGAGGAAACCCCCATCATCCACTCCCAGGTGGAGGAGAGGTCTGCAAGGAAGGAGGCCACTCCCGGCCCTGTTGCTGCTGCAGCTCTGCCCTGTCAGCTGAGGGCACAGAGGCAGTGGGATGGCCTGCCCTTGTCAGCCTCCAACGGCTGCTCCAGGCTCCAGGCGGGAATGTGAGGATCCAGAACCTCAACCTTGCTTTGTGAAGGCAGAGCACCAGGTATGGCCCTACCTTGGGGAGGGGGTGGCATGACCTGAAGCTTTCTCTGTCTAAGCAATCTCTGGGTGGTGGTGGGGCGTTTCTTCCCCAAACATGACAAACCCTAAACCAAAAATCCAGGTCAAATGGGGCATCACAGCTTCACATTTTGAAACTGAGCAGGTGAAACGAAGTGCTCCTTACATGCTCCTTACCTTACTCATCATAATTGACAGTCTGGTGGAATCATCTCTTCTGTTCTACATTATATAATCATCTCTTCTATTCTATTCTATATTCTACTCTATAGAAGAGATGATTCCACCAGACTGTCAATTATTTGGAAGCCTGCACTCACAAACAAAAAAATCCCCACACCAAAAGCCAGTCAAACACCTGGGCACAAACAGATCCCCCCTGATACCTCCAGCTCAAACACACCCCAACCAGGCACCCAGATGAAACCTAGCTTCCTAATAGATGATAGCCGTCCATTTACTCGGAGCCAAGCCAAACTTAAAGCCTCCAATACAGGAACACAATTTTGCCAGCCAATCAAGACAAAAAAAAGCTACAAAACAAACAGAAGATATTAGAAACACCAATCAAGCAGAACACAGCAAACTCCAAGACCAATAAACACAGACCAAGACTCCCAACTAATCAGGATGAAGAAAAAATCATTCTGGCATAGCAGTAGGCTAGCCCCAAATTTAAAATCTGTGAAAGTCTGAAAATTTAACGGCTGTGAAAGTCTGATTCACAGACGAACACAATACAGAAGCCTGATGATGGCAGATGAGATTCTGCTGCTGAAACGTTGCTACAACTTTAAAAGCACAACTATAATGACGTGGGAAATTACCAGAACAAAGCTGAATATTATATATATATAATACACACACACACACACACACATATACATAGAGAGAGAGAGAGAGAGAGAGAGAGAGAGAGATTTTGGAAAACTGAAAGATTACCTCTATTAAGAGAAATTCTTTTTACATTTTTACATATTCATTGTGGTGTATTTCATTTGCTCCAAATACAGAACTACTCCTGCATCTTAGTCATTTTATGCATCATATAAAATATAAAATGACATCATAGTAAACATAATCCATTTTCAATTTGTCCACATTTGGATAATTTAAAAAAAAACACCTTTTCTTTTTTTCAGGCTTAGGAGGTATTTAGGTCTTTGTACCTCTACTTGATCATGAGACCTTTTCCTATCCCCTTCCTCTCAGTGATGGTGCTTGTTGAAATGCAAGCATTGGATCAGCCCATAGAACAATGGCCTGGCCTGAATTGACCTCCCGTATATAGATCTAGACAGTCTGTGTGACTGTGGTGGCCTCTGCGCACCATATTTATCTTGGATAGGTTTGTTGTGAATCAGTCCAGAAAATAGGCTAGTTCAACAGCCAAATGACTGTGTGCACACAATAGGTGCAGCTCCGTGTTCTGAATGGCCCCCCATGAGGCAAACACCCCCCCCCCATTTGTGTGCCGCCAGTGGAAGTTTGGGGATGGTCTCAGGGCTTGCGCTAGGGTCACAGGTCATCCAGGAGGGAAAGAGGTGGACAATGCACTGCAGCTCATTGAGGTTACAACTTCCTTGTCTCCCCTCTCTAGAGAAATGGCCTGTTCTGTGAATGTGGGGAGTAGAGGATTCTTTGCCTGGGATGTGTGCAGAGTGCTGGGCCCTCAGCACATACCTGGGACGACTCTAGCCACCTTTGCTTCCTGACACTTGCCAGCAGAGAGGCCTGGGAGCAGAAGGAGAGAGGGCCTCTCACCTCAGGGGATAAGAGGTGGGACCTTGGGTGGAGGGGGAGGGGATGAGCCCTCTATTTTAAGAGGGTTGGAAGCCTGGACTTGGGACACGAAATCCACCTGGTGGAAGAAGGTAGACGCAGAAGACAAACTGTCCCAGCAATTTGAAGGGGCTGCAAAAACCTGCTCCTGCCCACCATCAATATGCTTTGCTCATCTGGCACAGGAAGGCACCTTTGCACCTCTCTGTCTCCCTCCCTCCTCCAGAGTGGGGTTGCCCTTCCTCATCTGGTCTTTGCCTGGCCACCCCCCTCCCCTTGCACATTCCTGGGGCTAGTGGGCAGAAATTAGCTTTAATGGGAGAAACACATAAATCCTGGTCCTAGGCACACTTATTCATGATTAGCTGAACCATGGTTTACTGAACCCAAGTTTCCAAGCTTATACAATGTCGAAACCACGGCGAAGTGCAGAGTCTGGGTTCCCACAATATCTCAACTATCTCGGTGGAGACCCAATGGTTGTGTGAAAAGGGAAGGAAGCCACAGAGCTTCTCCCAGACCCTCGCCCGCAGACTGCGTCTTTTCCTACCGTCCCCCCAAACCAGAAGCCAGGAATGCAATTTCGGCGGCGGCGCGGCTGGGAGCGCTTAAAGGGACGAGCCCACCAGGATCGCCCGGATCGCCGAAAACCTCCGGCCCGCGCAGTAGTGCGCACGATTGTCGGATGGACTTGCGCTTGCGGAGACCGGCCTTCTGGGCCCAGCTCCACCTGCGGAGCGGCCTCCAGGGCTGGGACCTGCCCCGAGAACTGGCCCTAGACGCCACCTGTGACCAGCTGCCCCCAGGTGAGGCGGCCCCTGCTGGAGCCGCCCCGCCCGCTCACTCCCCTTCCCCGCGTCTTTCGAGGGGCGGCGGGTGGCCCGGGTCGCTCTCGGCCCGGCCGTCCCTTTGGATGAGGCTCCGTCACGGGGAAGGGCGAGGGCGGGACCGCGGCGCCTTCGTGTCCCGGCCGGAGGCCAGCGCCTAACCGCCTCTCCCCTCAGTTGCTGACGAGGCTCTCCCGACGACGCGGCTCTACCAGGCGGCCGGTGGCCCCACCGAGGCCCCTTGCCCTTCCATCTCGGGGGCTCGTGGTAAGCGAGGAGGGACGGAGTGACGGAGGGCCCCGCCTGGGGTCCTGGCCTGGCTTCAAAAGCCCCGGAATAAAGCAGCAAGTTGACAGAGCCGCCTTTCCGTCCCGCGGTTTTGGGGCGAGCGGCAGCCTCGCTGAGCGACGCCTGGCTGTTCCTTCCCCTGCAGAGGCTGCCGGGAAGCCGCACCTGTGGATGTGGGTGGACCCCAACCTCGTCTGCCCTATCCCTGGACACGCCACGGGGCCGCCGCCCCTGCCTGGGCCTCGTCCCCGCGCTGCTCCAGAGGTTCCGTCCTGCACCCCAGCCCGCTTCGGAGACGCCCGCCCGGGAGAAGAGGTTCCACGAGCTGTTCAGGCTGGGCTAGAAACTCTGGAGAGTGCGGGGGGCGGGGGGCGGGGGGGGGGCGTTGGGGTCTTCCGGCTGGCCAGGTGCAGCTGGGAGCCTTTAGGCTGGGTGGGGGCTTTGCAAAAGCTGCCTTTCCTTGGCAGCCTTCCTGATTAAGTTTCAAACCGGTCCTCCACCTTTCCCTCCTCAGGGAGAGTTGCTGAAGCACAAAAGTGGGAAGAAAGTTCTGCCTAGAAAGCTCCTCTTTCTGCCGGCCTCTCTCCTGCACTTATTTCCCATCAGTTCAAATGTGCCCGTCTTTTGCCAGGATCCTGGGAGTGCCCCTGAAGCCAAATCTACCCTGCTTCCAAAAGAGGACTCCCAGAGGCCCCCCCACGCATGCCAGAATGCACAAGGGATCCAATCCCGCAGCAGGAAGCTGCGGGCCCAGTCCGGTTGGCCTCGCCCCCCTCTCAATTATTGTATCTTGATTAGCCTGGCCCTGAGCAGCAGTGTGGACAGCAGCCTGACTGTGCAGGAGATCTACAAGTTCACCAGGTACCGCTCTTGCAGCTGTGAGTGGCACCAGGCATACCGCAGGGTGCTGGGGATGGGAGGGCTTTCCTTTCCTGCTCTCGGTGGCCTTGAGGCGGAGGGCTTCCTGCTCCTTCGAGTGGAGCACTCTAGTCTGGCCACCGGTGAGCCTGTGGAGGTGGGCCTGGCCCTTGCCAGGGTGTGATGCTTGGGATGCTGGCCCTTTGCCCCCTTGGCAGGCGCCACTTCCCCTTCTTCCGCACGGCTCCCGAGGGCTGGAAAAACACTGTCCGGCACAACCTCTGCTTCAGCAGCAGCTTTGAGAAGACCACAGACTTCGTTTGCCTTGAAGGGAACCGCAAGTCCCGCCTGTGGAAGTTAACCACAGAGGGCAGGCGGAAGTTTCAGGAGGAGGCGCAGGCCCTGCCAGAGGATATGATGGGCTTGGTGCACCAGAGCATGGACAAGCCAGGTGGGCCTTCCCTCCTCCTCCCTTGTTGGATGTGGGGGGAGCTGGGTGTGTGTGTTCCCCATAGGAAGGATTGGTTGAGGAAGAAATTGGACCCATCGTCCTCTCTGCAGTGAGCTGAACCACCTGGCAGTGCCAGATCCCTTGCCATGGGGTTTCTTGGCAGACCTGCTGAACCCACAGCCTCATCTCCCTTCCCCAGAATTAATGCGGTCTCTCTTTGGCCTTTGATCCTCGGTGTGGAAGTCTGGCAGAGGTGGCCATTTGACCCAAGGAGTTCCCAAGGAGGATTTGACTTTTGCCAATCTAGCCCAAGGGAAGAGGCTGGATTTTCCAGGCACGGGCAACCCTTGAGGCTCTGGGCATCGCCTGCTTGGCCCTCGGCCAGAAGACACTGAGCAAGGCAGCTTCATCCTGACCGGAGCCTGAAAGAAGGGAAGGAGATCCTCACTCGGTTTGGTGTTGGAATTTCTCTTTGAAGCAGTAAAAGCGAATCGAGCCCCTTTCTCTCATTTCTCAACCTGGAGAAGAATCTCCCTAACCCAATAAACGTCTTCAAAGAGCAACGCGGTGTGATTGTCCGTGGAGTTGATTTATATGCGCCCCTCCTCCGTGTTGCCCCGGGAGACGCTTAGCGAGACAGGATTTTGCTGCTTGGAAGGACCCGGAGGCCCATCGGCCGCAGCCAGCAGCAGCTCGGCGGGAGGCCCCTCCTCTCCCATCAGAGCCACCGAGCAGTGGGCGGGGCGCGCAGGGTGCTGACGTCACTGCGGGGCGGTGCATCAAGATGGCGGCCGGGACAGCGACGGTCTTCCGCTGTCAGCTGTGCCGCCGCAGCGCCTTCGACGGGCGCCGGAGCCACCTGTACAGCGCGGGGCACCGGCGGCGGCTGCGCGCTGTCCTGGGCCGGCTGGGCGAGAAGGTGCGCGGGCACGGGCGGCTCGGCCGGCTCCGGCTCGCCCGAGGGCGCGACTGACGGCTCTCCCACTTCTCCCGGGCAGGTGGCGGCGGCGCGGGCGGCGGCGCGGCGGGCGGAGGTGCTGCCCTTCCAGGCGGGCGAACACGAGCGGCGCGTCTGGTGCCCCTGCTGCGCGCGCGAGGTCCCGAGCCACCTGGGCCGCGGCGCGCGGACGGTGCTGCACGGCGGCCTCCTGCAACACCTGGCCAGGTGAGCGGCGGGCTGGCGGGCTGGCGGGGGGCTGCTGCGCCGGGACTCCCCGGCGGCCGAGCGACGCCCTCTTGGCTTCTCCGCAGCCCGGAGCATGGGAGAGCCGTGGCCGCCTTCTGGAGGAAGAACAGGGCCGACCCCAAGCTGAAGGCCGACTACCTGCTGTCCGCGGCGGAGTACCGACGGTGAGTGGCCCCGGTCGGCCTGCTTCCCGGGTGGCGCTGTCGTCATCGTTCCGTGTCCCCCCACCCCGCCCCCGGCTGTCGCCCTGCGAAGGGAGAGCGGCTGGTCTGCGGTCGTTCTAGGAGGAGTTGGTAGCCTTCCTATGCCAGTCTGTGAAGCCATTCTTAAAAGGCACATTTCTGAAGAGGGAGGCAGGGAGCTGTGCCAGCCTCTGGAGAGCCCAGACTGTGTCTTCATGCCATCAGCAGTCACCTCTGCAACAATGGCCCTTGTTGCCCAGAGTGATGGGCTGCTTTGCACTTCCAGCTTCCAAGAATCTCTTTGCAAAGCCCTGGATGCTTATGAAGAGAAGGAAGATGCAGCCATTCAGGAGGTAGAGCTTGGGGGTGCGGGGGAATCCAAGTGGTTCAGGGAAGGACAAGAGCCTGGCTTCAGCTCTGAGTTCCTCTTTTTATCCCATCTTTCCTCATTGCAGGCTGCAGCTCACATCCGAGACATGGAACAGAAGAGACGAGAGATGGTACAGGCCATCTTAGAGGTTTGTGTGCCCAAGTTCAGAGTGGGCAGTATCCATCATCGTGTTTGCAATGGTTTCTGCAGAATCCTCCCACTCAGCTCCCTTTCTTTCCCTGTCTTCTCCGCACCTTTAGTTAAACTCAAAGCCATTTGCCAACTTCAGGAAATGATAATTCCTCTTCCCCAGAAAATACCAGGCTTTGCAAGTATAGTGGATGTTTTCTCTCCTCCCAAATCCCTTTATGCCAGGAGGTATCGTGCCAGGTACTGGGGTTTTGCTTTACTTTTTACTTAGTTCCAGTTTAAATCATTTGTAAAGCCACTATAGGTGCTGAAATGCCCTTTCTTGGCACAAGACCTTTCCCCTCTTTCCCCCACTTACCAACTTTTTATATTTCTTTGTGGCAGCCTTCCCTGCTGAGCCCCTTTCTTCCCCCTCTGGATAACTCAAAATGGTTTAGAGGATTACTTGTGCTCTGTCCTAGGTATTATATAGTAATTTAGAAATTAGCTTTGTAGTTTAACTCTATTATCAACAATTCCTTTTTAATTTTTTTCCACTGGGAAAATGCTCTTGCGTTAAGGGTATTTCTTTTACTGGCATCTGTGCCTGAGTGATTTAGTGGAATCTGCCCCATCTTAACAGTCTCCAGATTACTTTTCAAGATGTATCCTATGTTGCAAAATATGTTGTTGTCTCTTGAAACAAGTGTGTTTTTCCTGAATTAAACTCAGCCACAGAGAGCGGACATGCTAGGTGATGGAACCACTGCTGTCTACACCTTTACAGGGAATTTAAGGTAGGAGTTACCTTAAATCAGAGGCCTTCTTGCTTCGGTATCCCTGTGCTGCTATTCCTGGCAATATTCTCTTCACATGATCTTGGTGCCGAGTCTGTTTTGCTCGTGCTGACAAATGTTCTATGTTGTAGTGATTCTCCTTTTGCTATGGAAGAGCAGGAGCAGCCTGGGCCAAGCTGGAGCACCACTTTTCTTCGAGAAGAGCGTATTTGTACCAGCAACACTATGCCTGAGCTACACTACCCAGAAACAGGGCAGGCCTTAACTTTCATTGGCCACCAGGTACTCCATTAGGAATTCCCTCTTGCCCCTCATGTTTAGCAGCCTAAGTGACAACCAAGCAGTGAGCTTCTGCCCTGGGTGTAGTCTCCTATCTTGTATCCTCCGTTTCCCAAGAATCTTAAAGAGGGAAAAGGGATGCTGTCCTCTGGACTGGGGAGCTGATATTTCTGGCTGCTGGACTCACTACCCTCTTCGCAATTTTACATGTGGGTTTTTTCAGGTCCCCAGTCCCCTACAGTACTAATTTGAGCTTTTCTTTCATTGTTTCAAATGCAGGAAACAGGTGGGGAGGGCAACATTCACACAGGTAGGTTGGAGTCGGCTTTCTGAAATGACTGCTGAGCCTGGCTTTGCCTGTGATGGACATTTGGCTTGCGAGGGGAAAAGAGTCTCTATACTGAAACAATAAGAGTGAAGCATTGATTTGCCAACTATTTAATTTAATGTGCGTACAAACCTTAAAAATGAAGCTAACCATAAATTGCATGCTGCATGGCTATACATGGTGGTATAGCAGATGCAGTTGAATCCTTGAGCATTTCACAAATAGCTATTCTCATATCATTATGGTCAATATAACTTGGGCACATGAAAAGAAACATATGGGGCTTTTCTGATTTGTCCACCTTTCAATCTTGAGGAGCAAAACCTCCCTGGCTGATGAATGACGAGAAGGAAGGTGAAAGGCAGATTGGACCTTCCTATGAGGAATTCCTTAAGGAAAGTGAGTATGCAAGGGCTAGGCCCTTTGGGGTTCAGTAGGAAGAACTGAGCAAAGAATAATGCAACATTTTGTTCTTCTGTCTTTAAAGAACAGAAGCAGAAACTGAAGCAGCTCCCGCCGAACCGGGTTGGGGCCAACTTTGACCACTCATCTCAGACAGGAGATGGTTGGCTCCCCTCCTTTGGGCGTGTTTGGAATCATGGTAGAAGATGGCAATCCAGGTAAACACATGCCTTCCTCAGAGAAGGCCAGAAGCAACAATGAAGAATGCCATTAATATATTTAGAAGACTTTCATCTCTCCCCTGTGCTGCTAGAGACAGCAGTGTGTGGGTGGGTGGGTGGGGGAAGCGGTCTGGGCCTGGCTGCGAAGACATCCTCTCATTTATTGATACTGAATTTGTTGAATTTTTGCTTATGTTAACATGTATTGGCTCATTTCATATATTCCACTTTATTAATTTAACTGGTAAAATTATTGGAATCTTCTCTGGCTCCCCAAATTCAACAATTGTGAATATCAACACATTACATTTGCATGGCTGCCCATCTTCCCCCAAAGTGGGCCCTGGAAATGCATAACGAATAAAATATATAGCCAGAAGAGATTTGTATGTGTGCTGGAAGCCCCCATTGCAGAAGAGTAGAAGAAATCCAGCCTGTCAAGTTTCTGCCCTTGATGCTTCAACTTGTTCTCCTTGGCACTGCTTTTTTCTAGACATCAGTTCAAAGCTGAATCTGGAAATAAGCAACCTGGGTCCAAGAGGAAAAGGCCTCAAACCAGCTAAAAGGTCTGCATCCCCAAGGCAGCTTGGCAGAATTCAAAGCACATTAATCAAAAGAAGCCCAGCGGCTATTGTGGAAGACTTCTGCTGTGGTGGCTTCTGTGAAATGAACTCTGTTCCTGTAGCATTAAGCATGTAATTGTAATTTTATTCAATTACACTTATTGTAAGAAAACTGTTATAATTATATATGAATTTTACTAAAAACTATGGTTACCAATAAATGTGTGCTACTACAAAATATTAAAAGCAAAGTGCATTTGTCTAAGATCCACAAAGCAAATATGAGATTGCAGAAAATATTGCATCAAAGTTAGGAGCTCATCTATGACTTTCTATATATCCCTTGTTTATTCAAGTTCATACTTATTTATCAAGATAGACACTAGCTGGCATACTTGCACTGCCCACACGGTTATACAACCAATGTTTTAATAACATTTTACTTTCGTGTACCCAAATTCTGCAAAACTTTTTGCTATTCAAAAACAGTAGAGCCATTTTACCCCTTGCATAATAATTGGCACTTGTTCAGATCATTACAAAACCTCAAGGAGTTTAATCAATTTATTTTTTTGTGTATACAAGTAACTCTGAAAGCCATTTAAGAATCTGCAAAGCAAACCAAAGAAGAAATTAGATCTTTCTGATGCAATGCAGTCAGTCCCGTGTGGAACTGTATTGGTCATCCGGGGTCCACTTCTCAAGCATCCTCTCCTGCAGCTGGTGCATCACCTCCCTTGGTGTTTCGGGTGTAGATGACCTGTGCTCTGTGCTTGGAGACCAGTTTAATTAGACCTGCCAGGAGGAAACGCGTCAGAGGATCAGAAAGCTTAGGAAACGGAGCGAGCGGGAGCGTTTGGGGGAAGGGGGGGGGCAGCGGTCGGCTCTAATCTTTCAGGGCCCACAGCCGGGCTCCTGCAGGAAGAGCGGGGCGCCTCCGGCCTCTCACCTTTGCCCAGGAGCTCCTGCAGCGCAGCCCGCGCCAGCGACCCTCGAATCTTCAGCCTCTCCGAGACCACGGCGGGCGTGATGAGCTTGTAGTTGGGCACCTCCTTGCAGAGCTTGTCGTAGGTGGCTTTGTCGAAGAGGACCAGGTTGTTCAGCTTGTCCCGCACCTTCCCCTTGGACCACTTCTGCTCGCGGGGAGAAAAGTCCGTCAGGGCCGCCCACGGCCTCCCCTCCCTTCCCGCCCGGCCTGCCCGGCGCCCACCTTCTTCTTGGCTTTGCCGCCGGACTTGTTGACGGGGTCCTTGTCCTTCTTGGCGGACTTGCCCGCGTCCTTCTTCTTCTTGTCGTCTTTGGGCGGCTGCGGGGAAGCGAGAGAGCCGGAAGGGTCAGCCGCCGGCCGGCCGGCCGGCCAGCCACCTACCCGTCCCGCCCAACCCGGGGCCTACCTACCATGGCGCAGCTGGTGGGGAAACGTGCTCCTCTTGGGCGGCTTCCTGCTGGAAAGGAAGGCGGCCGTCCGCGCAGGCCGGAAACCCCGCGGCCTAGCGCACTTCCGGCCGGCACCGGAAGAGGCGTGCCCCCCCTCCAGACCTACGGGGGCCGCGATGGCCATCTTCAGCGTCTTTGTGGTGAACAAGGCCGGCGGGCTGGTCTACCAGCTGGACCACTACGCGCCGCGGGCCGAGGCCGAGAAGACCTTCAGCTTCCCGCTGGACCTGGTGCTGCGCGCGCACGACGAGCGCGTGCTCGTGGCCTTCGGGCAGCGCGACGGCATCCGCGGTGAGGGGCCGGCGGGGCGGCGGCGGCGGCGGCGGGGGGGGGGGGGAGAGGCCGCCCGTCTGAGCCGCCTTCCCCGCAGTGGGCCACGCCGTGCTGGCCATCAACGGCGCCGACGTGAACGGGCGCCTGACCGCCGACGGAAAGGACGTGCAGGAGTTCCTGGGCAACCCGGCCAACTACCCGGTGGCGATCCGCTTCGGCCGCCCGCGGCTCTCCTCCAACGAGAAGCTGATGCTGGCCTCCATGTTCCACTCGTGAGTCGGCGGGGAGGGCGGGCGGGCGGGCGGGCGGGGGCCCCGGGCGCGACCCCCGACCGACCGGCCCCTGCTTGTCGCGCAGGCTCTTCGCCATCGGGTCGCAGCTCTCCCCCGAGCAGGGCAGCTCCGGCATCGAGGTGCTGGAGACGGACACCTTCAAGCTGCACTGCTTCCAGACGCTGACAGGTAGCCGGGGCCGGGCCGAGGGTTCGGATTCGGGTTAGCCTCGCCCTCCCTGCCTTGCCTTGCCTTGCCTTGCCTTGCCTTCCTTTCGCAGGGATCAAGTTCGTGGTGCTGGCTGACCCGCGGCAGGCGGGCATCGAGGCCCTCCTGCGCAAGATCTACGAGATCTACTCGGACTTCGCCCTGAAAAACCCCTTCTATTCCCTGGAGATGCCGATCAGGTGCGCCCAAGCCCCCCTCCCCAAATTCCAGGAAGGCCCTGGGGGGGGCTGGCCTGATCCTGAGCGGCGCACTGGGGCCTGGGGGAGGAGGCCTCCGACCCCCCCCAATTGTTTCCCCCTCCTGCTTTCTTTCTTGGAAGTCCCGGGTGTTGCTAGAAACCTCCTGCTTTTCTTCCTGCTTTCCTCCATAGCGTCAATCTATCCATACACGAGATTTGCAAGTAAGAATGAAAAGGGAATTTTTCTTCAGGTGCATCGCAACCTTTTATGTACCACCTGATATTTTAGCATATCCCAACAAGTATGAAGGGACAATATGAAAAAAAAATATTTGATAAAGATACAATGAAAAATGTGGCCATACGACCAAGGGTGGCCTTTTATTCTAAGCCTGCTTCTGTTCTACCATTTCAGATGTGAGCTCTTTGATCAAAACTTGAAGCTTGCACTGGAGGTGGCAGAGAAGGCAGGGCCCTTTGTGCCAGGGTTATAGGGTGAAGTTCCTCCACTTCACTTGCCCAAGGGACTGCTTGGATCTTGGGACCAGAAAGGCTTCCTAGCAACTCCAGTTGGCCCTCTTCCCCATCCTGGTTTGGACCACCTCTGCTGCTGAAAGTTAGAAGGAAACCTTGCTGGCTACTTGTGTGTGTCTTTAATGTATGCTTGGCACTTTATTGCATGTGGAAATAAAATATTCTTTAAGAACGACTTTAAACCTGACTTGGGGATAAACTGACATCCAACAACATTTGTTACGATGGTTGCTCAATCAGGCAGTGGTTTCGACTGAATTTGTCATTTTTTTCACTTATTAAATCCTTCCCAAAGACCCAGGATAGGCAGGTGGTGTTATTATGGCAGATGCCACTTGATTCCCAGTAACTATTCAGCAAGGGACACAGAGCTTTTATTGGACATTTCTTTATTTTTGTATATAACATATAACAGTCATAATTTAGAAGTTATTATAGTAAATGGAGCAAGATGTATCCCTAAAGGCATCTGATTACATCTGGAGATCTTCATGGCTGCAGAATTGTTAGGCAGTTCCAACCCCAGCACTTAAACACTGCTTTCCTTCTATTAAAGACATGGGGCATTGAACCCCTCAGTCTATACTGATACTTGTGAAAGTTTGATTTTTGTTGACTGAGGATCAACTCTGAGGGTTACTCTTTTTCAAATTCTAACAGTAGTTTTTAGTCCACTTCTAAGCTTACCTGCTATCAACTGAAGCTAAACAGCAAGAATATGGCTCCCTTCTTTTCCAACTTATTTCCTGTTTGGTAATACCTGAGTGTAATTTGTGGGAAGATTTGTGAAATGTCACTTGAAAATCTAACATAGGAAATGAGAACAGGTACCCGAGGGGGGTTGTATGTGTGCCTGAGCGAAGCAATTCCTCAAAGTGAAACTTCCATTCAGCTGCTCCGCTCCCACTGCTGCCAGTGAGCCCAGCAGAGGCTGGGACAGGCCAATGTTTGCTCACGAGTTCCAACTACTAAGGGCCTCCATTATGTTTGGAAGGATGAGAGCTGGCCGTAACAACCTGGTGGGATTTTTGCCACCACTTGATAAAGGCAGTCAGTCAACCTGCTTAGCGCTCCCCCCCCCCCATTTTTCTTCCTGATGTCGTGGCTGTGGACGAAGGAGGCTCCTTTGCAGCCAAATCGTGAGGCCTTTCAGTCCACTTTCTTTGGCACGCGGCCCATCTTGGTGCAGATATTTCTCAGAAGGAAAAAGGCCGCAGTGCTGGCTATGCAGATCAGCTCCGCTACCCAGAAGGCTGTTCCCCAGCTGTAGTATTTGGCCACTGTGCTGAAAGGCAGCCCGGCCAGGAAGCCTCCCACTGAAAAAAGAGAGAGAGAGAGAGAGCGTTACAGGGTGCAAGGTGGGCTTTTGTCCTCCATCGATTCCAATTACATTTTCACATACCGTTCGCCATCAGGGCAACAATGGCGTGAGATGTGCCACACAGATTGGATGGTGCGCTCTCATTGGCTATGACGCCAAACAGTGCAATCGATCCATAAGAGCAAAATCCAAAGGCGGCTCCTAAGAGCAGGATCCAGAGCTATGAAAACGGAGCCAGACAAAAGGTTAGGTGGACGATTAGGGCAACTTTCCCTACTATCTGCATCTGCCACTTGTTCCTTTTCCTCATCACTGTCTGCAAAATGGTGCCTTAGATGAAGCACAGCAATGTTTAATATTCAGTATGTGTTGCTTCTCAATAATCCACTAAGAAAGTGAGAAATAACAGCACCTCAGTCAACTTCTATTTTAAGATAACTTTTAGATCAGGGTACTAAAATATCAAACCTCGGTCGTCTCACTACAATCTAAGGATAGCATAATTAGGAAAGAGTGAGGAGAACTGTTCCTGCAGCTCTGCAGAGGAAGGTCGTCTACTTCTATGGCTAGCAGCTACTGCTAATGACGCTGCATCTGGCATCAAGTCAGTGGCTGAAGCAACAAAATGATGAGAGAGAGAGAGAGAGAGAGAGAGAGAGAGAGAGAGAGAAGGAGGGAGGGAGGGAGGGAGGGAGAGTGCAAAGACCTCATGTTCTGTAAAACCCACAAGATCAGCCAGAGGATAGAAGAACTGATTCCAAGAATAATTTCCCTGGAAAAAAAAAAGAAGGGAAATGAACAAGGAGCATGAGAGTGTCTGGAAAAGACAAAACACAGTAATAATTGTATGCAGAAGCAGAGACCCAGGAAAAGGAAAACCCTTACCAGCAATTTTCCAAAGTAACTTTTCTAGCTAATGTTGAATTAATGGAAACCTATTAACCCCATCATTGTTGACTGGGACATCACCATCATCAGTATTTGAAGATTCCCCATCCTTCGAATTACCAGCCTTTTGAGCTGAAGCCAGAGGAAACGCCACAGTTTTGGGATGAACCGATAACTGGTCTATCCTGGTTTCAATAGATGGGCTTGTAATTGCCAAAAGTTCAGGATGCAAAGAATCTATCCAGGAAATGAATTTCACCCTGATTTCAGATACCCAGTTTTGTTTCCCTGAAAGTTGCAGAACTTCACTTTGTTCCATTAAAATTTGTTTCTAAGAACCGCAATTCATTCTACTTGTGGAAATCCTCCTCACGTGTGCCATTTACCTGAAGGTAAAAGCCTTCAAAATGGTCGCCTTTCACCATCTACTCAAACAGGTGACAATATAAATGAGATGAGATTGGGAGGAAAACCAATCCCCTCCTGGAAAGCAACAGCTTTGCTCCCCCTTCAAGGCCAGTCTTGCATAACTGAGCCTCCTTCCTATAGTTCACCTTGGAGGAGCTATCAGTGACTGTGACTCGAAAAAGGAACAGCGAGGCAGCCATGCCGGCCATCATCAGGAGGAGCAGGGGATGCCGAGGGTTTCCGTAGATTGAGAGGCCCACCTGCAATACACACGCGTGGATCCAAAATGAAATGCGGCATCCCTGTTGCACAAGGTCTGTCAACCCAGCCCAGACAAAACCGCCTCTGTCTCGTCATCCAGGCAGAGGCTGTGTGGGGTTTTCAGGGTTGCCCTTTCTCCTTCATGCTTACCCTGGCCACTGCGCGGTCCGAAAGGTAACCAGCAGCAATACTGCCCACGAGGCCCCCAATTTCCAAGGCGCTCATATAGGAACTGCCTAAGAGCAAACAGCACAGTGGCAATTCCAGCGAGGCTGCATCCCTGCCTGTGGCATGGCCAGTCCTGGCGCCTCCCCTGGCCAGTCACACAAAAGGCCTCCCCACAGTTCCACAGAACATTGACTCTGGCTTACCCAGGCCAAGCGTCCACCTTTGGGACGTGCTAAGCTCTCAAAACCCCAGGAGAAAGGCGCTGCCTCCTACCCACGAGGGCCGACTGTCCTCTCTCCTGAATGAGAAATAGCTGTCCCCAGTCAGTACAACACGTCTTCACACCAAACACCACCAGGTAGCCAGAAGAAAGGACCCAGAGGTAGGGAGAACACAGCAGTTCAGCCAAAGTGCTATCATCCTTCGAGGAGTCTGTAAGAAAGAGACCATTTCAGCAATCTGACCGTTCCCCTGGGCACCCCCTTGGCCCTGGTCCTCGCTCAGACTCCACGCTTCCTCTCTGCTCCTCAAGGGGAAGGGAGCCTGGTGGGTTTGTTGATAAATTAGCCTTGCTGCACCGATCAGCACACAGCTCCCCAACTGGGGTTCAAACAATATAAATGGAAGACATGCTTCTGCATCCCTGGCTTCAAACCACAGCAAAGTTTCCATTTAGTTCCAGAAGGCCCGGGGGGCGGGGGGGAGGATGACCCCCCCCCCCCAGAAGGCTGCTTTCATGGCCCTGAAGATGGTATCTCTGATCAAGGGGACCGGCTTCCCCACACGCTCACCTTGTTTCCCTTTCTTGGGCTTAGAGTCCAGGTTGGGCAGTCCCACATCTGAAGGCTCATTCTTAATCAGGAGCAGGCACACCAAGGACGCAACCACACACAGTGAGCCAGAGAGGGCCAGGATGGTGCGCCAGGCGTAACTCAGGGCCATCAACGCTGCCACAATGGGCCCAATTCCTCCGGCCAGATTCATGCTGGTGGAGAGGATGGCCCACCAAGTCCCAAACTGGGAAGGTTCAAACCACTGTAGAGAAGGGAGGGAGGGAGGGAGGGAGAGAGAAAGAGAGGGTGGGTGCCTAGGCCAAGGCCAGGTCCTCACATTGAGCTTAGACTTCCAGCACCACCACAGGGTGGTGAGGGCCAAAAAGGAGCAGCAGACGTTTTCTGGACAAACTTCCCTGCTCCCCAAAACAGTCCTGAGAAAGGCAAAATGGAGTGCATCAATTGCTTAGCACAATTTCCTCAAAGCGGCTGACAAGAGCATTTAACAAAAAACCCTCTGAGTGGCAACAGACACAGGGACCTGTGCATTCCAAGTTCATGTACACAAATGAAGTCAAGCAGTGCAGCAGGTGCCCCAGAAAGCTCCCTGCTGGGTTATCGGTGAGCTCAAGTTATGAGTTAGTCTTCCGCTCTGAGTGCCGAGCTGTGAGGGGACTTGAACAGGAGGAGGCAGCCGCCACTGGATTAAGAGTTTCCCAGAAGTACTTGGATAAGGAGGTTCTGGATCAGACTGGCCTTTGGCCTACCGTCTTTTAAGGCAGCCAGCTGAGACTGCTCCCAGCCCCCAAAGGCCACTTGGCTCAGGGCCAAAGGAGGTGACTAGTATGCCAGAAATACCCGAGAGCAACAGGATAGGGCTTGCAATTTATAGCTCCCGTTGCCCTTGCCAATCCGAGCCCCTCCTAGAAAAACGACATCTCTGACGAGCAGAGAGCCCAGGTGTGGCCTCTGCCTCCCCTCAGCTGCAAGGGCAGTTCTTGGTTCTGATAAAGAGCTGCAAGCTGCCAGGACTAACACAGAAAATCAGCCAAGCGTTCTCAGCTTGCGGCTCTGCATGAAGAGATCCAGAGCCAGGGGCTACGCAGGTGGGGGCCATGTCCTGGTGGCTTCCCTGGGACCTGCTGCCTCTGTGGGGGGAAAATTGGCTGCTTCGCTTACCTTGCGCAGCACTTTGCCACAGGGGGGCCAGCCCAGGCCTTGGGCCAGCCCGTTGAAGAACCACAGTCCTGCAAACAGGGCAACGGTAGAACTCCAAGAAAACAGCACGTTGACTAATCCCACCAGGAGGAGGCCGGAAGAGAAGAGCCAGCGGGCACTCAGTTGGTCTGAGAGGACCCCACTAACAAACTTGCTAATGGCGTAAGCGGCAGATTGGCTGCTGGCGATGAGACCTGAATTGGATGAGAGCCCCAGGAAAACCTCAACAGCATGACCAACAGGGCCTGGCCTGAAAGGGGCTCAGGCAGGCCGCGTTAACTGGAACCAACCAAGAGCAAGGCAGGGTCCAGACTACAAGGAGGGCAGAGAGAAGAAAAGCCATGGAGGACAGCCATTTCAGACAAGAAGTGGTGCTTTGCCCACAGAGGACAGCTGGCTATGGGCTCCCTGTGGCCCCTGAGTGGCCATGATGAATACAGAGACAGTTTGCTCTTCCTGCGTCATTATAGCAGCCAGAATCATTATGCCCCTTCCAGTTAAAGACCGAGCTCAAACCAGGCGATAGAATTTCTTTTCTCTCCAAATAAAAGCTATTCAATATAGTAGCCTCTTAAAACAATGGCTGCAGAACTACAACATCTGAGAAACAGCAGCAGGTTTCCATGGCAAAGGAACACCTGTCCCAAGCATGAAGCTGGTTCTCAAATTCCCCCTAAGTCTCTTAGCATGAGGCCTCTGAGAGCTTCAGAAGGGTTCCGTACCCCAGTATCCCCTCTCCAAGGACCCCATGACCAAATAAGTGGAAGGGAGGGAGGCAAACTCACCCAAATCATCTTTGTCCAACCGTACCTCTTCCATGATTGAAGGCATCACGAAGGAGAAAGTTTTTCGGTTGAAATAGTACAAGGTGTACCCAAGATACATAGCAGTGAATATGACAAACCGGTGATAGCCATAATTCTTTCCCGCCATTGTTGGGTGGGTTTGTGCTTCCAAGCGTTAAGAAAAAGAGTGGAGAGAAGGAGTAGGCTGTTCCGCTTTTAAGAGTCCAAACTGCAGGCACAGCAGAGTGGCTGACCAAGGGGAGAGGAAGGGTGGCAGCTAAGGGTTCAAAAGAGGGAGCCAGCAGCTGCCGGATTGTTTGTCTGCGTCTCTGCCGGGCAGAGGCTTTGTCGAAGTTCTGGCTTGTTCTCAACTGTGCTCATGGCTGCTTTCTGGAGAATGATTAACTTGAGGGCCAGGCTGGACACAGAGTTCAGTATAAATGCACCCATCGACAACGGAACCCCTGCAGAGCCAACTTGTAATAAACAGAGTTTGTGTCCAGAATGTAAAGATTAGCGAGGCTTTTTTTTCACTCCCTCGTTCTGACCTCTGAACTCAAATAGTGCAAGATCAAACAGAGCGGATCAAGGTCTTCCTGGAACAAGCAACCTCCTGCGTCAGGACTGGCCCTCTCGCCTGCCTTCCTTCAGAACAGCACCTGGATCCCAGCAGGCCACACTGAGCTCAAAGATGTTCTTCTGCAAGCTGAGAGACACACAGAACACGGGTCAAATGCTGCCCATCAGAGAAGGCAAGTTCAGCATAAAAATATTTACCTACTTGGCACAAGACCATCTGGGTACAGCAGGCAGATTAAAAACCAAGAGCCCCTCCCCATTTCTAGGTAAGAACCGGAGTACAATGATTTTCTGTTACACCTTCGAGATGCATCATCTTATGGGCAGAAGAACAAAATACCAGGACCTTTACCTGCTCAAAGTAGCAGGTGTGCCACAGAGGAGCCACTGATGTGGAGGAAGTGAGAATCACACTTCAGTTTAAAGCGTGGGCATTTGCAAATAAAGTCCGCCTGGCCTCTGACGAGAAGCATTTATAGCGTTCTCCTCCGGCTACCCCTGTGCAGAAGGCTCTCCTTGCAGCCTAAAGACGGGGCCCTTCCAGCAGCAGCCTCAATATTTGGTTTCAACACACTCCAGCAGTAAGCAGGTCCAAAGGGCAAAGGTCCTTAAAGGACACGGAGAGGCCCTGGAATGCTGTCCAGAAGGAAAGGACTGAACGAAGAGTCAGCCAGGAGAACTGCTCTTAGCGTGGGGAAGGGACTCTCTTTCAGAGGAGGACCACCTGCCCCGTTTTCTCCTGACGCCACCACCTTGGCTCAAAGCCTCCTTTTGCCTGGAAGGAGGAGATCCAAACATTAACCCTCAAGACAAACTTTGTCTATCAGCCTTTCCACTGATACTCGGAAGCCTTGGAAGAACTAACCCCCCCCCTCTCTCTGTTGCCTTCTTATACCTGGGTTCTTGCTAATGAACCCCTGGGAGAGGCTGCTTAGACAAGCTAGCTCTTCTTCAGAGTTACCCCTGCAAAATATCACACATTTTCTGCTCTCACCCCAGTTAGATTATTTCCCACCTAATATTTGCTGGATACTTAATCCTTATTAATACGCAGCTTTTGATGTCGGGAGAGGGAGAGAGATTACAGGGCTACAGAAGTTGCCCAACAAAAGCAAAGATGACAACAAGGCCTTGAGGCGGGCTGGGCTGAGGGAGAGGGAGGAGCCCAAAGTCGCCCAGCCGGCTTTCCTGCCTAAGGCCAGGCTGGGACTCCATTCTCGGCTTTCTAGACCGGAACCTTCCCCATCACCCGGAAGAGGCTCTTTAGAGAGCAGTTTCCCCCTCCTCCCTTGGGCTCACCATGAAAGGTTGGGGACGACCGACTGTGATCAACATTTCCCTTTATTCCAGTTCTGGCCCCTTCCTTGAGCTCTTCCTGTCTCAGTGTATCCACCCTGCAAGCTCTGGGTCAGGTGCAGCACAAGAATTTCAGGAAAGGAACTGCGCCAGATTCCTTGAGCCTCCAATTTCTCTCTCTACCTTTGACAGGCAGCCCTTTATTTACCGCCACATTTGAGCCCAAAATTTATGTTGCTAAATGAGACACTTGTTGAGTGAGTTTTGCCCCGTTTCATGACCTTTCTCGCCACGGTCGTTAAGTGAATCACTGCCGCTGCTAAATGAGAGACTCGGCTGTTAAACGAATCTGGCTTCCCCGTTGGCTTTGCTTGTCCGACGTATTTGATCCTGGTTGGGCCGTTGCAACAGACACAGCCAGGAGCCTCTTGCCAAAAGCCGCCTGAGCGTTGATCGCGCGACCCCCGGGAGGCGGCCGCCCTCTGGCCGCGCAGGAGCCCCGGCCCTTCTGGCACCGGGAGCCTCGCCCGATCCGCCCAGAGCCTCCGGCGAGCCCGGCCCGGAGCTCGGGTGCCGGGTCCGCTTCGGCCAGAAAAGGGCCCTGCGAAGGCGGAGAAGAGCCGCGGCTGCCCCCGGCCGGCCCGACGAGGTCCCGGCCCCACGTCGCCCCGCCAGGAGAAGGTCGCACTCCCTCGCCTGGCGGGAGACGCCCCTCCTGAGCGCCATCCCACCGCCCATTGGCCAGGGTGGACGCCACTCCCTCCCAACGGGGCTTCCTGAGTTACGAGAAAGGGCTCCATTTCACGCATGCGCAACAGCGGCCAGTCGCCGATTCGGGCCCCGAAGCGCCTCCTCTAGCCTCCCGGGCTCCGAGTCCGAGAGGGAGCCGGGTTCCAAGGCGGCCTGTGGCGGCTACGGGGGAGGGGCGGAGGCAGGCCCGCGGGGGTTGGGGGCCTCGACGGCAAGCGGCGCGCTTTACTGGGGGGGCGGCGGCGAAGACCCCGAATCTACAGCCTTGGGAGACGCTTCCCAGACAAAACCTGCCGAGCTCCTTCGCGCCTTAGGAGCGCCCCCTCTGCGCCCCAGTGGGCCTCCCATACCTATTTCATACTGCGGGGAAGCTGCACACCGCCCCTGGGTAGCTCCCAGCGCAGCAGCCGGGTGGGTGGATCGCCTCAAGGGAAAGAGCCCGCCGCTTCCCAGTCCCCTCTCATGGGAGCCAAATAAAAACGGCCCCGTGAAGAATCACGCCCAGAATTGTTAAAGTGGTTACCAGAACTCAAGGAGCGAAGGATGCCCAGCCACCCCCGGAGATCACCCTTCGCTTGCCTAACTGCAGTGGAGTTGTGGGGAGGCCCCTTGAAACGAACAGAATGAGGCAAAACGCGGCGGCCGCAGCATTAACTGGGCACAGAAAGCAAAGAAGATGATACTGGTTCTCTCCCTTGGTGTCAGCGCCAGCCTGGGCTGTTCTGTTTTGTATTACTTCCTCGGATACAACAGGGAACATGAAGGCTTCTTTCAGACCATTATTGCCTACCCATTTATGTTACACCTGACTTTGTGACATGGAGCTGCAGAACAAAGACAGCAATAGCAGCGGCCACCGGCGGAGAGTAGGATGAGCAGGTTTTCCAGACAAGGAGAGGTGCCGCAGGGCCTGCTTTCTGCATCAAAAGCAGAGCCCAGAGCAGGTATGCTGCACTTGTGTCCTAGAGAAATCCAGGTAGATTTAATCCATTGCTCAAAAATGCTGGTCCCAGGAAAAAGCTGGGGTCAGACCTTGCAAACATTTCCCAAGAGCTGAAAGTCATCTTTAAAGAAAGGGGTTGATACAGCACAAAATTTCCAAATGAGCAAGAACAAAATCCCCAAAGAAAAAGGGGGAAAAAAATACAACCTCTATTTTGTCATCAGTTTGTGCCATGTTCCACTAACCATGTCCATCGTAAAAACAGTAAAATTAACTGTAAATAAATAGATGTTGATGATGCACACAGGGACTTGAGGAAGTGTTATAATTCATCATTTTTTCTGGTCTCTTTTGCTTCTGCAGTCTTATCTGTTTGTGGGCCTACGTTAAAGACAAAAACAACCAAATGTTAAATGTTCAGATGCAAGCATCTCAGGAAACATTCTCAAAAACCTCCCGCTGGCCTTTTGCTGTCGCAGGACGAGAGTCCCCACCCCCACGTGATCTCTGGCCAATCAAGAGGCTCCTTGGGATGCAGAGTGCCCAGATTGTGCCCAGCTCCTGCCAGTTCCAGCCCACTTAAGCAGCTTTGCACAACATTCATTCAACCAGCATTTTCCCATCATCTGCATGGCATGTTAACCGTGCTGGAAATGATAGAGGTACTCTTCTGGTTACCATGGCCTTTGGGATGGGGACTGCTGATACTGAGCAAGGTGGCTGCAATGACCAATTATTGTCCTAACTGCAAGGTAAATGGGTCGTTAACTGGGAAGTGGCAGGGTGAGAAGCCTGGGAGGGCTGCAGGGGGGTGGAGCGACAGGAAGGACGAGGACAGAGAGGTCGTGGGAAGTAGGGCCCAGCGCTAGCATGGGTGAGAAGAGGCTGTGGGTCAGTGCAAGCCCCAGGAGGCTGGGGAAACTGACCAGAGCAACGTGGGATCTTCCCTGAGGGCTCCCTCACGGATTTAGGTTGGGGGAAGCCATCAAGAGAGGCAGCAAACTGTGATCATGTGGCCCTGGGGGGGTGCGATGGACAGACCTTCACGGACATTGGTAACAAGGTCAGTGAGGGAGGACTACAGGTAAGCGCCACGGCTGTGCTGTCGCGCTTGTGGCTCTGGGTGAATGTGGACATCTGGTGCCTGGACTCCAGTCTGACCCAAGGAAAGGCTCCCTCCTCCTCCTCCATCTGGGTTTCCTTACCTCCGTCTGGGTCCAATTCATTGCCCAGTGGCGTTTCCTCCTCCACGGGGGGCTCCTTGGCTGGGCTGGCATCTTCCGGTCGATCTGCTCTTGGCAGAGAAAACCACAGTTGTGGAGAGCAGAAGCCTTTCCGCAGCGAAGGCGGCCCTCCTCCCTCGCTCCCCTCACCCAGCGGGCAGTCTAGTAAAGGCACCCGAAGGGCTCCCGAGGGCTGCTCTGGCTCCAGTCCAGGACTCCTGCTCACCTTCCGGAGTCTCCTGCTTGGGAGGGGGGCTCTTGCCATTCTCCCTCTTCTTGGGCTTGGTGAACTTGGCCTTATTGAGAAGGTACTGCACCTCCCGGTCCAAGCCTGCGATCTTCACCTCAATGTCTTTGGAAAGCAGAATGGGCTTGGCGGTGGGGGGCAGCTTGTTCTGCTCAGCCAGCGTCTCGTTCTTCCACACCTGGGAAAAGGCAACCAGCATTCGGCTCCTGGCCGTCTTCACATTGGGAATGCCACCACTGCAGATCCTCCCGAGGGATATTATAGCCGCTTTTTACCATTTCATGTAAGGTTAAAGGCCGGTGGCAGTAGAATTCAACAGGGCCACCTGAGGAATCTGACTGGGCACAAATCCTGGCTATGCCGTGTGGAGCCAGGTGACCTTGGGGAACTGGCCTCCTGCCCCAAAGAGGGAACTCGGAGACAGGAAGAGCACCAACGGGTCGTGGAGCAGAAGCCACCTGGGCTTTTCGGGATTAAGTGCGGCTCTCGAAACAGGCAGCTGTTGTGCCACTCTCCTTTTTGGGGGGCCCTCCAAAGGCGCCCCCTTTCCCTGGGGCTGGAATCCCCGATGTTGCGGGTGCCTCCCGTGGCTGCACTTACCTCCGTCTCATTGATAGCTTTCTCCAACGTGCTCAGCTCGATCTCGGTGAATATCTGATCAGGCTCCGGGATCATTCGGGCCCCCCTGAAAGGAGCAGGGAAGGGGCTCAACCTGCCTGAAGCAAAGGCGCAGGTGCCTCTGGCACAGGTGGCAGTCCTCCTCCTCAACTGTACCAGGGAGAGGGCAGCTGGTGCTGCTGGGAAGTGCTTCTTTCAAGCCAGCAGGCTGGACTTAAGAGCTCACCATCTATTTTTGCTAATAAAACTGCAGTTTGATTTAAGTCAGCAGTCGGAGGCCCCACAATTTGAAGCCTTTCCCAGAAATCCCTTTTCTAGTTTCTGCTCACAGAATCAATTCACAATCCCTGAAAGGCTACGGAAGGGGGAAAAAGCTGCAGGGCTGCATCAGCACTCTGGACATGCGCAGCCCCAGCTGCAGAAGCGGAAGCTTCCCCCAAGTGGGGGGTGGGGGGAAGGGCCCTGGCTTGCCTCCTTCCTACCTGAGGAAAATGCTGGAGTGATTCAGCAGGCTCTCCAGGGCAGCCAGGCGGTCTGGCCACTTCCTCCTCTCCTCCACGCGGAAGAAGAGGCTCCGGCACAACCTCCTCAGCTCAGAAAGCTTCTCCTTCAGCTCCTGGGAATCGCAACAGAGAGGAAATGGAGCCCGGCACAAAGCCATCCCTGGGGGGATTCTGATATGGCAGGAGCCGCCCACGCAAGCCAGAGGCAGCTCATAGACCACGATCAATGGACCAGGTCTCAGCAACACCAATGCC